ATCGATTCACGACTCAATGCAGGTAAGGAATGCATTAATAGATCATGGTTTCCCTGAGGGGGATTGATCTCGGTGGTGTTTTCAACAGCTGTGCAGAGTTGCCATTCGGGCTGCTCATCAGTCATCTGTGGCCGACATGCCTCTCTGGTTCCTTAATTGAGTATTACATATAGATTGTTTTTGAATTATGAACTGCTGTAAGCAGACGACAAGCATCTTCTTGAATTACCGCCAGAAGAATTCCCAGCAGAGACAGCTCCTGCATCAACAGGATGAATTCGTGCCATTAGCTTCTTATTTATTTTTCTAAGGTATCAAGTCATCAAGACACTATAAAGGCTATTTTTAAGCTGTCTTGATTCAAATTCATTTCAACTCAGTCAGAGCATTGGGATGCAATCTCCGTTATAATTTAATATTCTAATACCGGAAACTTGCGTCAAATCAGTCAGGAAATCCGGAGGCACCCTCAGTACATTTTCATATTAAAACCTGGCTTCCACAATGCCTAGGATTACTTAGGCCTGGAAAGCGTCAACAATTTGGAATCGGATAGCTTTTACTTGTATCGTGCTGAGTATACGTTTAGGAAAATGCCATGCGTCTTTACACTGCCGGCTATAACAATGAAAATTGTGTCGTAAATCATTAGTCACATTGATTCTGCCTCAGCGGTGAGGAAAAAATGTGACTCATAGAAAAAGAAAGAAAAGGAAAGGAAGGTAAAAAAAAAAAGAGAGGTTGGTGTGAACACACAGAAAGCAGGAATACATAAGGCCTCCTGCAGGTAAAGAAGTCAGTCAGCAGGCAGCCAAGATGCAGCCTGGAGCCGTGATCGCTGCCAGCGGCCAGGCTGGGATGGCCCTACCCCGAGGCAAAGGGGGAGACAGATGTTTCTGGAGCAGGGCTGGGAGGTGCAGCTGCTGACGGGAGCGGGTAAGGCCCACCTGCCTCGTTCAGTAAGCTGTTCTTCACAACTAAGTTAGGGTTCTGAGCTGCCAATTTGGAACGCTGGATTCCAGCAGACTCAGTCTCGTTGGAATTTCACTGGCGCGCATCTTTCCCAATGCCACTGCCAGGAAACATGTAGAAAGGAAAAGGCTGGCTCCACCTTCTCTGGGCGAGGCAGGTAGCTGCTTCTTCAGCCAGTTTGAGGCAACGAACATTTGCAGAGCCCCCTCCTGTTGGAGCGGCATGGGCCCCCAGATCGACCATTCCCAGCAATCAAGAGCTTAAGGTCTACAGCTCAGTAGTGATGCAGAGCTTTCCTACTAAAACGCAGAAATGGGTTAGCAGTGTCTTATTTACTGAACACTCACTCTGAGCTGAGCACTTTCCACATGTATCCTTTCGGTTAAGCCTCGTAAGGAGGCTTCCCCACGAGGAAGATATTATCCTCCTTTTTACAAGGATGACAGAATGAGACACAGAGAGGTTAAGTAATGTGCCCGGGGTCACACAGCTAGGATTAGTACCTGGATCAGGCTGGCTCAGAAGCGGATGCTCTGATCACCAGCTAAGGGGTACACAGTTCCAAGGATCATGGCACTGCAGGCTCAGGACGAAGGCTTCCTGGAGGGAGAGGCTTTGACCTAAACACATCCTCAGCTTCTTCCCGTTCTTTGCTTGCACCCGCCCTGGGACCTGAAGCAGGATCGTGATTATGGTGGTTGTAATAATAACAGTAATAAGGAATAATGATGGAGTGCTCACTATCTGCCAGACATTGTTCTGAGCACTTGACATGTTTTTAAGCCACTTAATCCCCACAATTTCCCTCTGAAGAAGGCATGGTTATTATCCCAGATTTGCAGATGAGAAAATTGGGGTATAGAGACATTTAGTGGTTTGCCTGACTCAGCCTGTACCTGGCTGGGCTGGGATCTGAAGGCAGGAGTCTGGTTTCAGGCAGCACTCTTAACCAAAACACCTGCAGATTGGAGGTAACATGAAGGCCACTGGGCATGGGCACACGAGCCAAGACCAGGACTCAGGTGTGCCTGGGAAGCAGCAGGCAGTGACAACATCGGCTCCTTCTGACTGGCGCCTACAGGCATCCAACTTTCCTCTCTAGCCTTCTGAATCCTCATGACATCCAACACGGGAGAAATTCTTGTGTATTTTCCAGAAAGTGGATGGCAGTACCAGCACTCCAGGTCAGGTCCTGGCTCAGCTGGAGGGCAGGCAGGCTAGGCCAGCGGGCTGGACTACACCCTGGCTGCAGTGGAAACAGACTTCAGTGCCAGGCTCAGGTTTGTGTCTTCCTTCTCGAGGGAAGCAGCAAAGCATCCCACCACTTCCAGTTTCAGCCTTTCACAGATACAAACCCTCCCATCACCAAATTCCCGTTACCTTGAGTGGGATGTGAAAGACATTTTCATGGGACTTTATTTTTTTTAAAGATTTAATTTTTTTCCTTTTTCTCCCCAAAGCCCCCTGGTGCATAGTTGTATATTCTTCGTTGTGGGTCCTTCTAGTTGTGGCAAGTGGGACGCCGCCTCAGCGTGGTTTGATGAGCAGTGCCATGTCCGCGCCCAGGATTCGAACCAACTAAACACTGGGCCGCCTGCAGCGGAGCACGCGAACTTAACCACTCGGCCACGGGGCCAGCCTTCATGGGACTTCTTTTGAGGATCACTTGTAACTTAATTAACCTGGGGTCTGCAAACATTGCCCGTAAAGGGCCAGAGTGCAAATATTTGAGGCCATACGGTCTCTGTCACAACAACTCAATTCTCCTCCTTTGCAGCATGGAAGCAGCCATAGTTCGGTTATGTAAATACGTGGGTGTGGCTGTGACCCAATAAAGCTTTATTTACAAAAACGGGAGGAGGGCCATCCCCAGTAACTGGGGGAAAAGCATACATCTAAGAAATACATTCAGGCGATCAAAGTTCAGCCACGATTTCTCAATGCTTCAAAAACTGGAAGTTTCTGAGCTTCTCACAAATGAAGGAAACAAGAACAAAGGCAAGAGTAATTTGTAGTTTAGTTTATAAAACTATGGATGCCATTTTGACCAGGGGAGGTAAGTATATTTAGAGAACACTGCTTTAATGAACACAAAATTATTCCATAAATAATTACTCAGTTATTCGATAAACAAGAGCATCTATGCTGAGGGTCAGAGAGACCTCTCCGTCCACCTGCGAGTGTCCACATCCTTCCATCTAAAATAGTCGTTCAGATCTGACACATTAAAAAAATTGTTTGCTGACAATTTTTGCTTGAAATTAAGTAGGTAATGGGCTTATAGAGTAAATACACGTACCAATAAGAAACTGAAATTTAATCGGCATACAGTTTACACTCAATAAATATAAACATACGCTGTTAACTTCCTACTTATCCTTTCTAAAGACAATGTAAAGTGGAAAGAGCTCTGAAGAGGCAGTTCAAGAGAAATATGATGTGAGCCTCTTGTGTAGTTTTAAATTTCCTAGTAGCTACATTAAAAAAATAAAAAGTAACACGTAAAATTAATTTTAGTTATGTATTTTATTTAACCCAATATCTAAAATCTTATCACTTCAAGATGTAATCAATATATAAAATATTACTAATCTTACAATCTTATTTTCACAGTAAGTCTGGAAAATCCAGAGTGTGTTTTATACGTAGAGCTCCCCTCAGTCTGGACCAGCCACATGTGGCTGGCGGCTGCTATCCTGACCACCACAGCTCTGCAGTGGGGCAGACGTGGATATCCTGTCCCAGCATTGGCACTTTTTCACTGAATAGCCTTAGTTTCATCATCTGTAGAGTGGGGATGATAAGAGCTACCTCGTGAAGCTGCTGCTGTGAGAAACAGCTATATTGTGCCTGGCACATGGTAGGCACCTAATAAATGGAAGCTATTATTATATCAATTAACTAAAGCATTGAATATTTCTTTCATAGAAGCCTGAATTATTAATACCATATGACAAATACAATGAGGCACTTTCGCAGAGCAAAAATGGTAACTACCCCACATATACAAATAGACAAAAAAAGGCTAGCGCCAGGGTCCACAGCTTTCAAATTTTACGAGGAATATGAACTGCTGAGTCTGAGCATACCTCCCCTCTTTTGGTCCAGCTTAAAGTATAATTGAAGGACCCTAAGCAGCATATTTGATCGATTTTAACATATGTACGAACCTGGAAGCCATCACCAAGGTCAAGATCATGAACACGTCTATCACTCCCCAAAGTTTCCTCGCGCTCCTTCAGAGTCGCTCTCTCTCCATCCCTGTCCCAGGCGGCCACCGACTCGCTTTCTGCTCCTACGCATTAATTTGCACTTCACAGAAACGGAATCAGACAGTGTGCCCACTTTTTTTGGTCTGGCTTCTTTCACTCAGCATGATTTTGAAACATTTCATGGAAGGATCATGAAGGCACAATTTTGAAAGATTCATCCACGTTGATGCATCAACAGTTCGTCCTTTTTATTGCTAAGTAATATTCCATTGTACAGATAGCCTGTAATTTGTTTATCAAGTGTTGAGTACACTGGGGTTGTTTCCAGAACTGGCTCAGCAATTTTGGTGAAAACTGACCATTTACGTTTGGGTCTATTTCTCTTCCACTGATCTATTTGTTTCTTTTAATACCAAATGCCAGAAAGTTTTGATCACTGGAGGTTTACAGTTAGTCTTGAAGTCCAATAAGGTAGGTCTTTCAATTTTGTTCTTCTTTTGCAAAATTGTTTGGCTATTATAGGTAACTTCCATTTCCACAGAAATTTTAGAATCTGCTTGCAGATTTCTATCCAGAGGAAGACTGCAGGAATTCTGATTGGTACTATTTTTAGCTCTTCAACCTTTCTAAAATGGATTGGTATTACGTTGACCTATAGGTCATTTGGGCAAAATGCCAACTTAACAACAGTCTTTCAGTCCATGAACATGGTCTACCTTCCCACCCACCCGCTTAGGTCTTTTCTGATTACTCTCAGCAATGTTCTGTAGTTCTCAGGGCAGAGGTCTTCACGTCCTTGGTTATTCCTAGGTATTTTATGTTTTGTGGTGCTACTACAAATTGAATTCTTTTTATAATTTCACTTGACAGTGGTTTGCTGCTGGTATCTAAGAATACACTTGATTTCTGTCTATGAACCTGATACCCTGAGACCTTGCTAAATTCACTTGTTAGTTCTCGTAACTGTTTTACAGGTTCCTGGGATTTTCTAAGTAAACAGTCATATCATCTGGAAACGGGAACAGTTTCACTTCTTCTTTTCTGACCTTTATGCTTTGTCTCGTTTTCTGTAAAGGCTAGAACCGCCAATATACCGTGAAACAGGAGTGGTGAAAGCAGCTCTTTCCTTATTCCTGATCTTGGGGGAAAAGTTTGGTCTTTCATATTCCCATAGCTTAGACTTTGTCAAATTATCCTTCAGAAAATGACCAATTTAAATTCCCACCAAGCGTGTGAGAGTTTGGTTGCTGAGATTTCATTCCTTGGCGGTCTTACAAGGGGGAGCCTTGCAAAGATTAAAAGGGAGACTGCCCAGGACCACAGACAATATGTTTCTGTTTATCCAGAAACTCTGAGTAAGGCCACCCTTCCTGTTCTTTTATCAGGCTGGATAATCCCCATCATCTTACTCTTACAGGAGCCATTTCACACAATTCCCCCAATGGACGTCCGTGTCCTGGGCAGGTCCCTTTACAGGCTGCTGCGTCCATCCTCCGGTGGCTGGGAGGGCTGGCTGCTAAGGGCTCACAGCTGCCCTTCTCCTGAGTCCTGAATGACTGAACCAGAGCCGCCTGGCTCAGAGGGTACCTCCTCTTGGTGGGGCATGGCCAACGACCTAACAACATGAGGGTGCAAAAGGTGAGCTCCCAGACCATGTACCGTATGAGTCCATTTATATGGAATATCCAGAGACAGAAACATCCAGAGACAGAAAGTAGATTTCTAGGGCAGGGAGGGAAGGAAGGGGTTGGAAGGAAATGGGGGAGTGACAGCTAAAGGGCACAAGGTTTCTTTGTAGGGTCATGAAAATGTTCTAAAGTCGACTATGGGGATGGATACACACCTCTGTGAATCGACTAAACACCGCTGAATCGTATACTTTCCATAAGTGAATTATATGGTATGAGAATAAAGCTGTTACAGAACAAAAAAGGAAAAAAGGGAGTAACGGCCATAATAGCAAGAGCTATCATTTGCTCAAGATCTGCTGTGGGTCAGGCACTGTGAGCGCGCCGCATTCCATGTATTATTTTTCATTCTTCAACGTTTCTACAATGGATTACTGTCCTCGGGGGTTGGAGGGGCTGGCCCCCTGCCTCCAGGCGGGACCACGTCTATGGTGCGATTCGTGCTCTGGGGCTCTGGCTGGATCAGGCTGCAGTCTGACCCCAGCTCAGCAGGTGACCTTGCTCAGCTCTGCTCCTTGCCTTGTCCTACGTTCTCACTTCCCTGTTCTCAAGACCCTCCCTCATGTGTGCTCCAGCCCCCGTTTCTGGCTCGGCTTCCAGGGACCCCTGCCTAAGGAGGTCGACTGGACCTCCTGACACCTCTGTTATGCCTGTGTGAGTCGAGGGGCAGCCCCAGGGCCCAGCGGCCACCTGGCTTCCCACAGCCCCGCCCACTTTAAAAACAACAAAGACTTTCTATCAGAGCTTCAGCCTGTTCTTTTCAGTCGTTTCTACATTTTTCCCCCACTATTTATCTTTATTGTTCTTTTGCCTTCAAAGGTAATGCATGCTCTAGGAGAGCAGTTGAACAAACTGTGGTACGCACGCTGCAGCTGTAAAGGAGGAGGAGGATCTCCATCAATTGATACAGAAGGAATGCCAAGAAAAATCACGGGACCAAAGTGCAAAAACGCATATACAGGATTCATGCAACTTACCCCCAAACAAATCAGAAAAATATATATATTTGCAATATCTCCCACAAATAATAAAAAAAATAAAGCAACTGGGGTAAAGTGCCAGCTAAATCTGGGCAAAGGGTATACAGGTATTCTTTTTACTTACAACTTTTCTGTAAGCTTGACAATATTTCTGAATAAGACGTTAAAAGAACAAAGAAAGGAATGCTTGCTAAAAATAAAATCAAATGTTATAAAAACACAGAGCATAAAAAAAGGAGGGGGAGGGGAATCTCTCTTCCCATTTTAGGAGTTCAGTGTGTATTGTCCAGATAACTGGAATGTGTATACTAATAATACAGATATTAGAGAGAGGTCTATAGTAATACACAGAAGGACCTAGCCCCCCACTTCCAGAAAAACTGGCCATGAAAAACCCTGTGAATTGCAGTGGAGCATTGTCTGACGTGGCACTAGGTGAGGGCACGGTGCAGAAAGACCAGGCAGGGTTCCGCTCTGCCGTCACACGGTCGGTAGGACTCGGAATCCACTCAATGGCACTGACAGCAACAGAGAAACACACATATATACACAGACATATAATTACACAAACATGGAATATGCTATCCGTGGGCCTGCAACTTGTTTTCATTCATTCAACGCTGTATCTTTTACGTGTTCCACTCAGGAAATCTCTATCTCAGAGCTACCCTATAAAATCCTGAAAACTATGTTTCTGGCATATCAAATCTAGGCTGTCAGATGATTCTGTACTTTTCACTGGGAGGTCAGGTGGGTTTCAGAGCCTTTCAGCCGTCCAGGGACTGCTCAGGTACATGGGGACACTCAGAGTTAGTGCAGCTTCTCGAGCCCTGGGGACCTGGGGCAGCAAGCGCTCCTGGGAGGAAGGAGTCTCTGCCCAGGTCTGCGGCTGGGCCTCAGGGCAGGCGCCCATCTGTCCCTGTCCGCTGCAGGAGCATCAGCACAAGAAGAGACTGTCCCAGGTTACAGAGCTCCCACCCACGCAAGCAGCCCTGCCTCGGCGGGACCTGACCTGGGGCGAGGGGCGCAGAATCTCCTACAGGAGCTGAGTCTCTACTGACGGGCGTGAGCAGCCACAGGATGCTGCTGACATCCTCATTACCATGGGACCAGGTGCTCCTGGGCTGGGCCACTGCTGGACACTGGCTTTGTGCCTCCCATTCTCTTGTGGACACTATGTAACACGCCAACATCTGGTCACCCGGGCATTTGTTCAGATGTCTGGTCCACGCGATGTGAAACACCTGGCTCGTCTTAAGGTTTCACACCCTCCTCTTGGGATTCTCTTTTTCTTTTTTTTTTTTCATGTTTTGCTTGCGTAGGAAGTAATGGCCCAATAACCAATTGAAATGACCGTCACCCAAGGCCAACTCATACTCTATAACCAGAAGAGATTTCTTCTTTTTAAGATTTTTCCCCCCAATTTCCTCCCCTAAAAAAAAAAAAAAAGCCATGTAAATTACACTTTTCTTGCCTCACCTCAGTAACAATCAACAAAAATTATATTCTTCCTTTTTCAAGGCTCTGAATGGAAACTACAAGAAGGTGGAAGAGAGGGCCGAAACCACAATTCTCGATGGCAGAGAAATGGCTCAGAGAACACCAAGGGCCTGTGCATTTTCAGCGTGGTCAGGATGGAAGTGGTTCTGTGGCAAAAGCCCCAAAGAAGAGCGCACGGGATGAGATTCACTGGCCAGTTATGAGCCCAGACCTGGAGGCAGTTGAGAGGGGCCGGTTCCTGTTTATAACAGGACGTTTCCTCTCCCACCCACCGCACCCCACCAAGAGTTATAAAGGACACGATCCTGGGGAAAGGGCGGTGCTGCTAGGAAGTCATTCCTCTCCAGGGCCTGGAGGTACCCAGCGGTCCTCCCAAAGCCCAGGGAGCACGGCTGCAGGAGAGCATCGCGGCCCACCCCGGACTCAAGCATTAATTATGCTCCTGCAACCTTCAGACTCATTGCCCCCTAGTCTTTTCTATATGGGAGGCTATGCTCAACTTTTTAATATTCCCTTCCTGATGACTTGGAAATTCAAACCCCGTGTGGAATATGCAAGGGGAGAGCTGTATTTTATCAATCCTACCATTTGGTTGCCAGAAAGGCAGTTTGGGGTGGGGGTCTGGGGACACGGGGCTTGAACCTCAGTCTGCCACCGCCAAGCTGTGTGAGCCTGGCAAGGCCCTCAACCTCTCTGAGCCTCAGTTCCCCTAGTTGGAAGGTAGGACTAACATCAACCACCTCTAGGGTGGCTTCGAAGATCAAGTGAGACTCAGAGCCAAAGTCACATGGCTGGAAGCTGCCTGTGACGCACTCAGGCGGCGCTCAATAATTATACCTTCCTCTCATCCTTTTCTAAGTATCTGATCAGAAGATCCTTTTTTTATTTGCACAAATGACATCTTTTTCGCTATGCATAATTTCCCCTTTAATTTTAAAAGAAGACGGCAGGCTTGCATGTGAGATGGAGTGCGGGGCACACATTAAGGTTTCAATCCAGAACGGACAATTTTCTAGATTTCCATTACCCGGTTTCCATGCCCTATCTTAAACACAGCTGTCAGGACAAGAGGCTCATTAAAAAGATTGTTTTGACTGACGGCATGTTCGTGTATCAAATTGGAAATCCATCCAAAAATACTCAAGGGAGGTAGACAGAGGTGGTGGCAAGCCACGGAAGCAAGATGTTTTACAGTGTTGAGATGACATTTGCTAGGGAAAAGATGCTCTAGCCCCGACGCCGGGCTGTTCTGTGGCTCTGGCCTCAGCCTGTACTCCGCCCTGCGTCTTGAATGCCCTTCCTGCCCACATCTGCCTGATGAGCTCTGTTCTGCATCCTTCAGGAGCCTGCTCACTCCTCTCCTCTGGGAAAACCTCCCTGGACAAGCTGGACCAGGTTGATTCTCCTTCTTCCTGTTCTTTGCACATTCCTCCACTTTTGTCCTGTGATTTCCTGTTCCCACCTTGGTGTCCCCAACTGGTCTATGAGGACAGAAACCAAATCTATTTAACTGAATATCCATGCCCAGAATGAACAGAATAGAAGACTGCTGGATAAATGGATGGATAGTGAATGAATACATGAATATCTGGCAACTCATAAGCTGTATTTTAGTAGGTGTCCTGAAGGAGAAACTCAAACCTCCCCTCTTTGCCAATATTATCTAAGGAAAAGAATAATTCCGGTGTTTTCTGGTATCACAAAAGAATTACCATGTTCCTTATAAAAGGAGGTCTGATGTTACTCACAAGAGGGGGGAAGACAGAGACAGTGGAATGAGCACTGATTTTGAATCCTGTCTGTTACTTACAGGCCACATGACAAGCTAACTTTACCTCCCTGAACAGCCATTTCCTCGATTTCAAAAAGGGGTTGACGACAGATCCCTCATCAAGTTGTTGTGAGTTTCAGAGATGATGTGTTTAACCTTTAACCCCCCAACACAGGCGCACGATTGCACACGGGAGACAGTGCTTTTTGGCCCTGTTTTTGAAATAACGTGTGATCGTGGGGGTTTTTCTTCCTTGTCCTGGAAGACAATGCTGGTTGCTCCCAATATCCATGCCCTTCCTTTTTGTCTTTGCTAAAAGAATCCCGATTTTGTTCTGGGATACGTCCTGCTCTTTACCCCAGAAACAGGACCGAGGCAGCTGTGGCAATTCTCTTCCTACCGCCACCTACACGCTGGGAAAGGGTCTGTGGCCCAGGTCTGGAAACAGGGCTGTGGGAGGACCCCAGCTGAGGGGTCCTGGGGAAGGTTTTCTTTCTTTTACAAAGTTCATTTTCTGCCTCTGGGGTTGTCAGTCTGAATGTGATGTCCAGAACTACGTGTACCTGAGAAGGCCCACCCTAAGGAAAGGGCCTCACGGGGCAGGGTGTGCGTGGAGCAGAATCAAGATCAACGCAAGACCCTGGTCCCTGAGTCACCGGGCCGAGAGCCTCCACTGCTCCCTGCCTTCTGTTTGCACACAATGATAAACCTCCTTGTTCTCTGAGCCAGGCGGGTCAGAGTTTCTGGTTATGCATAGCCAAAAGGAACTAATACTACCCTACACTTTTTAAAACAGAAACTCTCTTTTTTGCATGACCAATAAGCTATTTTTGACCACTGGCTAAGTCCGCCTTTGGAAGCTCTTACAGGATAATTGAGTTCACCTCCCTCCAAGAGGTCCCCAGAAGGTTCCTCACAGGGTGGGGCTCAGGAGGACTCCAAGGGAGGGTTTCTGGTCAGTGATGTGGACATCCTTCCTACTGCTTGTGAACTTGCTTTTCCAGGCATCGTGCATCAACAGGCCCGAGGCTTGGATCCAGGGCAGTGCCGACCCAGAGGAGGGGCAGGGGGCTCGGGAACCTTAGGCCACGACTGTATGGCAACTCAAGTGAAAAATAGACAACACGCACAAGGCAGAGTGAGTTACTAAAACACCTGAAACGTGGTCAACTGAAAACAAAGAAATAAAATCTTTTCCTCGCCTCGATTTTAGCCTTTCATTTGCGGCTAGGAGAGATGAAGTGTGGAAAATGACAAGTGGCGTAATTTTTTGAAAAGAATTGATGGCTCTGTAACTGTTATCCTGAAATACAACTGTCAGCAGTCATCGATCTTGAGTCCCTAGACCAGGGGTCGGCAAACCACAGCCTGCTGTCTGTTTGCTTATAAGGCGTGTGAGCTAAGAATGCTTCTCACATGTGTAAACGGCTATGTTCAGGTTTATGCAGGCACCTAGATAATAGCCTGGATTTTGCCTCTTGGCTCACAAAGCCTAAAATATTTACTACCTGGCCCTTTACACAAACAGTCTGCCAACCCCTGACCTGGACTTCCTTGTAGGGATTCTTTCTATTATTCTTTTTTCATTTTTTGAAAAACTTAGAGGATTAGATGAGTACAAAAGGTAGTATAACAATTATATTCGTACCACCCACAGATAACAAATATTGACATCTTGTAAGATCTGCTTTCACAGTTTTTAAGAAAGCAAAAAATATAATTATGTAATTTGTATACGATTATAGCCCAAGTCTCCTTTGACAACCCCCTGTGGTATCAGAGGCACTTGGCTTTACCTTTATAAGGAATGGACACCTTTGCAGAGGGTCAGTGACCTCAGCGAGACAGGAAACAGGGACACTGACCACAATGCTTCCCTGGGCTGATGGATCAATCACCCAAAAAAGGATTTCTTTCTCTGAAAGCGGTCTTTGCCATGATACCTAGGCTTGCCACAGAGTAGGCAACCCCCAAATCTACTGAATTAATTGAATGGGTGCCCCCAAAGCAAATACTTGATGGAGTGATTTCATGAAGACACAGCCTGAATGACAGGATGTTATGAATTAAAGTACAGAAAGGAAGCAAAAGAAAGAATGAAGGAAGAAGAAAGGAAGGAAAAAGGTAGGAGGGATAAAATGTCCCTGATATGGAGGCCATCCATGGCAACAGGTATCATGCAATTCAAAAGCTCTTAAGGGCAAGCACACCCCTATCAAACAGGAGCCGGCAAATACCTACACATTTCAAATATGAATTATGGAGGGAGGAATTTAAACAGTAAAAAAAACTCTCTCAAGTTTCATGGGGTGCCCACTCTAGATTTCTACATTGACTATAATACTCTAGTTCCTTCCCCAACTTTTCCCCCAGACCCTGTGCTTTGAGGGTAGGACCGATGCTTCCTCATTTTTGTTCCTCCGGTTTCCAAATGCAGGAAACACGTGCGACAGGTGTTCACAAATACACAGATGAACGTAACAAGAAGCAAAAGGGCCAGTCCCAGAGCCAAGAGCGCCAGCACTCTTCCAGCAGAAGGCTGAACCTCTTCAGCAAAACATGACCCTCAGTCGCATTGGGCCTTATCAAGACCGATTTCAGGCTCTCGTTTCACAAAGTTTAAAATGTGCAAGCATTTTTTATCGTAAGAGATTTGGGCCTGTTTGTGCACAAAGAAGTTTATGACAGTAGTATTTGTTACAGAGAAAAAGTAGAAACAACTTAAATGTCTAATAATGGCAAAAGAGTTCAATGGACATGGTGTCCATGTAGCACAAAATACCTGTGGTTTGGGGAACATTTTTAATGACAGGAGATAATACTGTGTATGACATAATCTTACGCTTCTAACACGTTCGTATGATATGATCTCAGCTGTATGAAAAGAAGGAACTTTCTAATAACAAGAAAACGTCAATGAATCACTTACTTATAAACCAAGGCCCAACTCAAAACCCCTCAATGGGTGCAACCAGGCAGAGCCACCTCTGGGTTAAATCACAAAACATACTAAAGATGCAGGATTTCATAAAGCCGACAAAAGTGACACTGGGGGACTGCTGGAATTACTGGGGAAGTCGGCAACATATAAGGTTCCGGCAGAGTAAACACACACACGTTAGTTTCCACAAAGGGCAATAAGTGGGTTACTGACAGATTTGGAAAGAGACCCTTAGGAAAACTGATGAACCTGAAAATATTTTTCTCTCTTACAGAAATGACCCTCAATGATGCTGCTGCCAGGGTCAAATGTAAAGTACATGCTGCCGTCAAACAATTATTTTAGACAATTTGGGCAAGGAAACCAAGCCGACACTTGATTCGTTCTTTGTTCACTCTAAGAGTTGGTACATATTTGCAATGACAATGAACACTTTCTCAAATACAAGTTGAAACAGATGACTGCCATAATTTGTCTCTTTTCTGAAGATAATGTCTCAAACCAACCTTTACTTTTATTTTATCACTATTTTCTACAAGCTACAGTCCTCAGTTTTTAAGCGAGTTTTTCTGGTGCCCATAATCCCCAGATAAGAGCCCACCTGAATTTGTACCCCTGGGGGGCTGACTGAAGAGTCTGTAGGGGTGGGTACATATTCTTCCTTGTTTCAAGAAAAACACCAAAAACAGCATCTTTGTCCGCAGAATGCGCAATTCACACACTCAAGATGAAAGGATGAGCTGAGAGGCCTACAGCGAAACAAAACTTGCTGCTCGCTGAGGCCGGAAGGGAATTTCATGCCCTGACTGGACTCCCTGGACCCTCACTCAGCAGACCCCCTCAGACATCCCCACTCTAAGCCTCCATGGGGGCTGGACCAGCTCCTTCCCTGAGGCAGCCCCCTAAGAAGGGCAGGTGGAAAGTGGACGTGGTGGGTGAGCAGGTGGGACCTGCCGCAGCTCAAGCTGGCCTGGCTCCTCTCATCCTGCTGTCAACGCCCACGCCCACTGCGCACGCTACTCATTATCCCGACAGCACGGCAAGGTGGTAAGAGGCCAGGCCCTAGGGCCAGAGTCCTTGCACCGAGCCCAGCTCTGCCACTTCCCAGCTGTGTGAAGCTGAGCAAGCCGACTGGTCTCTCTGTGCCTTGGTTTCCTTGTCTATAACATGAGACAATAGCACCTGTAGTAAAGTATTTAATATGTGTTAATTATTATTGTATTAATGTAATGTTAATTGTGTTTTAAATGGCTTATGGAGTAAAACTGATACTCGAAGAAGCTGGTTACCCTGTGGCTTCTAGCACCCTTTGGTGGCACAACAGGGGGCTCTCTCCGGGACATGGGACCCCAGCATGCTGGGCAGAGGAGTAGAAGAAAAGAACATGGTCAGAAAGACTTGGGTTCCAGTTCTGGCAATACTCCAGCAACCCAGCAATGGGTCAGAGGTATGGACTCATGGAAAAAGAGGAAATATGTTCCTTACACATCAATTTATCTAATGTGAAGTCATTTAAAATATTTTTATAAGATAATAATGACAGTAAGATGGATATGAATAGCACTACCATTAGTGAGCACTCACCAGGAGCCAGACACATGTCAATGTGTTGGATATCCTCCTCTGAGCCCCACAAAACCCTGCGATCTTACTATCCTGCCTCACACCTCTGTGACCTGAACAGGAGATTCAGCCTCCAGGACTTAGTTTGCTCGTCAGTAAAAGGGACAGAATGCCAAGACCATGTAGGGCTGCTGTGGCGGCTGTGGTGGCAATGAGGCAGCCACTGACAAGAACGTGAGTAATAACAAAACTGAACGTGAGCCACGGCTCTCCAGAAGCTTGTCAATCTTTTGCCTTTTTCAGGAGCAAAACTGTTTTGTTAGGTATCTCCCTTGGGTGGTACCACGGAGGAAGTGAGGTTACGGTCCCCTGAGCGATACAGAAGCGCAGACCTTGAGGCCCCGCCCAGGCAGGGCGGCCCAGTGGGAGGCTCGTGGCTAAGGCGGCAGCACCTAGCCCAGACCTGGCCCTTCTCCCTGGGCAACCGGACTGCAGGGAGCTCCTCACCCGGACTTCAACGGCGTGTAGGACAGTGCCTCCTGTAAAGGACACGTGTAAGAAAAACTCTTGTCTTTCCTCTTTTGTGTCAATAATCCAAATTTAAAATGGGCTCGGGAGCAAGAGAGCAATGCGATTTTTCAACAAGATTTTTAACTTTTAGTTTGAGAGTGATCTCCAAAACAGAGAAGGAACTGAGTCAGTTTTGTTCATTCCTGTCCTCAGTGCCTAGCACAGGGCCCATGCTATTTGTTGAGTGAATAAATGTTGACTTAACTTCGGGAACCCGCACACACATTTAAACACGCCAGGTTCTCGATTTATAAATATTTACCATCAGGACTTGATTTTAACTTTAATTAGCCCAACTGTTAAGGATACCTCCAAAGTGAGAAACGTAATCCATCACTTCACACCAGATGTAGCTTCCGCAGTTGGTCTTTTCTCTAGGTTTATAGTGAATGAAACACAGACGTCAATGACTAAAGTGATGTTTTATGGTGAATTAATCAAAACATAAAACAGACCAAACCTGGGAAAAATGAGTTCAGGATCAAATATCTATTAAGGAAGATGCCTTAAGCTGTTATGCCCCTACAAACTCTGGATTCTACGGATGCTTAAAAAAACTGTGAGTTCTCACTTAAAAGTTGGTCAAAAAAAGAATCGCTAAGATAGTTGTTTAAACAGAGGACATCAGAAGATCACTGCCATTGTCTTGGGGACACATTTGCTAGATTCAGAAAAATCTATGAAATTATGCATTCAAAGGTGTGTTTATTTAACACATTAATTGATGAGGTATACACTTTAAAAAAACAGATTTAGAGTCAAATTCTATCACTAAATGCCATAGGAATTTTCCATCCAGTTTAGCGCTTCCTAATCTTTTAAACTAATACCCCCTTTTGATAAAACTAAAAGTAACATTCCTCGTCTACTCTGAAAAATCTCAGACTCCCCGAGACACAGTCTATCTTCCTGCATATCCCAGGAGCCAAGAGGTTTTTTGTCTACCTTCACTTCCTATAGTTCGTATTGTGAAAAGAGTTGCTAATTGCTTCCTTTTTCCATTTGTAAAGTTATGCTAGCAAACTGCAAGCATATCCCCAAATTCGACATGCCTCTCCTGACCTGGAGATTCTGAGGTACAGCCTGGCAAGCAGGTCCTCCCCCTCTCCTGGCAGCACCCCAAGGGTGAGAAGCACCGTTGTGGCTACAGGGTAAAACCAGACCCCAACCAAAGCAGATTGCCCGCCGTGGGCTCACAACACGGTCCAGGGTCATCTGACATCATACAACCCTTGATCAAGCACACATGACGAGCCAGGCATGCTTTTATACGTGCCTCTCTTTATTTGATTCTCACACCAACCCAATTAGGCTGGGATGAATACATCCAACACGTGAGGACATGAAGGCAGAAAGCTGTTCGCAGCTTACATGAAGCCATTGACTAGGGAAGGAGGACCAAATGATTTGAACCTGGTGTGTCCAAAGCCAAAAGGCTGTCTGCTCACCCGTGATGTCATATGGCCTCACCCATCCCACTGGTGTGAACGCTTCACCCCTGAGCGACCTCACAAGTTCTGCATCACTTGCATACTAGCCGCACTATTACTCGCCTAATATTTTTCTTTAAAGTGATGAGCTAGTTATATTCTTTCTAACACACGTTAAAGTAAACACTCAGGGATTAGATTTTAAGTGCCACCATGTACCCTGCCCCATCACATCAATGGCCTCCAGTGGAATGCGCCTCGCCAGGCACGCCCTCCATGAGGCTTCTGAGGCTCGATCTGGGGAGACCCTCGAGTGAGTCAGGCAGGCGTCAGAGTGGGGTCACCAGAAGCATCCTGGAATTAGATGTATGTACACTGCGTAGAGAGCAAGAGTGTCACACCGTAACGGGAATACGTCTCTAAGCCAAGGGTGGGCAAACCATGACCTGCATGCCCACCCATATTTTTGTAAATAAAGTTTTATTGGAACACAGCTGTGCAATGCGCTTATGTATCATCTGTGGCTGCTTTCATGCTACAAAGGCAGAACTGAGTCATCACTACAGACTATAGCCCAAAATGTATACATTTCCCATCCCAAAGTCAGTTGGTAAACACCAATCCATAGGTAATACAGACATTACCTATGATTCTACTGATAAAGAGATTTGAACCAAGTTTAATTCAATTCCATTTAACCAATATTTACTTAGGGGCTACTCTGTGCCAGTCTTGGCTAGCGGCTGGGCCTACAGAGGTGAACAAAGGTGGGACCCCATTTCCTAAAGGAATCAGGACGTAAACAAATAATTTCAATACAACGCAAGTAAGATATTAGAGTGGGAACTGATGTTTTATTTCCCTATAAAGTGGAAACCTAACCTTTTTGTTCTTTACATTTTGAAATTCAAAAGCCATAAAAGCATGGACTAAGATCTCTCTCTCCAGTTTTATTAAAAAAGCATAAATACTGGAGATGAAACTATAATTCTGTGAAATTACTTATTAGCTTTTGCAGGAAAGATCAACTTACTGGAATTTTTCATAATTGCCAAACTTGCTCTGGGCTCTCTACTACGCAGTTCTAATCTCTCTGTTGAGAATGGGAAAAAGAAAAGGTATGGAGACATCAAGAGAAACAGGGTCAGTTAAAGAGCTAGACTTTCGTTTTTTAAGATTGAGTTTTTAAATTAGAATCCACATTAACTAGGTCACATATTAACTTTTTGCCGAAAAAGACATGAGGGATGGAGACGATGGTCAGGTTCAACCAAGATTTCATTATCTATTATCTGTCTTTGCAACTCCAACTAGCGATCAGGTGAATTAAGGGAAAACCAATTTCTACATCCCTTGGATGTGATGAAATTGATTATCCTCCGGCAGAGCAAAAGAAGACAGAGAATGACGGGGCCACTTCACATCTGTGCCTCTGTCCTGCCCCGGTAACTGTGTATTTGTACTGGCTATTGACAACATTTCTGGGTCATACAAAGAAGGCTTTTTATTGAGCTTCAAAAGTAGAAACAGAATGTATCCGTTTCTAGGGAAACCTGCAGGCTTTGATTCCCAGAACTCAGCCCTGCAGACACCGTGGCCCATTGTATAGTAACACCCCACCTCCTCACTTACTTCATCCCATTTAAAAAATTAATGCAACAATGTGAGATGATTGTTGATGTTCTTTATCAAATCATTTATTCATCCCACACAATGATTCAGAATTATTCATTAAGCTTGCTGGAAGGAAGCTGGGTTTTACCTCCATGGTGGTTCAAGGAGGGATGTGCTCTTTAAAAGGATATTTTATAACAACACAATTATCATAATTAAAAGCTACCCTGATATTCTGATGAGCTTTTGACATATTTTTGAGCACTGGCATTTTAGCACAAGGAGATAAATGAGACTGAAATAGTATTAGGGAGTAACATTGCCACGGGGGAAAGCTGGAGGCAGTGTTAAATACCATCTGCCACCGTCACCCCCAATTCTATCACGGTCTTTAAGTTAACGAATTTTACAAAATGTCACTTGAACTTCTGGCTTTCTAAAAGGAGTTCAAATTACACTGGCACGACCGGAAGCAATCTTCTGCACGACTGAGTCACGGGCGCACGCACTCTCCACGAGAGCCCACCTACCCGGGCTTCCAAACCAAGCAGCTCACTCAGCCGGGCCCTGAGCTGTGTCCACCCCAGATCCGGGCTCTTCCTGACGTTGCCCGCAGTCTGTTGTGTGTTTGAAAGGCCGTTAAGCAGAGGGCCCGGTTAGCCAAGACACTGAAACTGACAGGTGACTGCAGGAAGGGCATGCATCTCTCTGGTTTTCCCTGGTTAAACAGGTTTAGGTCAAGATCCTAAGGCCAGTGGCCAAGAAGAGGACGCCTTTTTATCCGTGAACTTGGTGCCTCGTGGGAATAGTGGGGGGCCACTTGGGAAGAGAGAAATCAACCACTGCATGAACCTGAAAAACCAGCACGTGGATCAGAGCAGGGAGACACACAAGTGGCTTTACCCAAGACCGAAGGACTTCGAGGCTGTGTGCTTGTGCTGACACTCAGAACACACCAGGGAAAGGCTGTGCCCGGGAGTTCCCTGGGGAGCCTGACCTGGTCTACTCTGTGCCTGGCAAACAGCGGGTGCTAAACAAAGAAGTGAGCTGTGGCAGGCGGCTGCTGAGGGAAGGAGCCTGAGTTAGAGTTTGAGTCCTGCATTCATCCCACAAATGCCGATGCGGCGTTTACTATGAGCTAAGACCTGAGCCAGGCCTCCCAAATGCAGAGATGACTAGAACAGCGTCCCTGTGCTCAAGGAGCTGGGAGTCTAGTGGGGAACTCAGACAAGTCAACACTCACAAATCCGCTGGGATCACGGAAAGCTGAGGAAGAACCCGGGGGGAGGCAGAGCTGCGGGGGGCACCTCAGACACAAGGTGTCAAAGGTGAGTAGGTGTTGGCCAGGTGACATGGAAAAGGCACAGAAGATGGGGAAGGGCAAGGAGCTGGCCTGATTCTGGGGGTGAAGGGGGCCTCAGAAGGGTTGGAGGCTCTGGAGTCACATGCCTCTCTGGCTGCTAGGTGGAGAATGGACTAAAATGGAGCAAGAGTGGGGCAGCAGGAGCAACTCAGAGCTGTTGCTACGACCCTGATGAGAGTCAAGGGTAGCCTAAAGAGGTGGGTGGGCTGGAGAGACACTAAGGAGGTAGAATTAGAGGCACGTGAAATATCCGAGGCTTCATGGGCAAGGAGGCCCTACTGGAGACAGATCCATCAGGGTTCCACCGCCTGATGCCATGAGGAGTGGAATAAGCAAACTGCCTCCCCTCTTCTGTCTCCTGCTTAGCAAGCAACCTCCCGATCATAATCTGGCTTCCCACGGTGCTCTGCCGACGGGAGAGACTGCGCTGCTGGGGCTGAGGGGAGGACTTCAGTCTTGCCCTAAATCGGCCAATTGGCATTCTGGTGGTAGATTCCACTTTCTGTGAGCCGGAGCAAGGGGAGCCCACCTCCAAGACACGGAGCAGCTCTGGGTGTGCCAACAAATCCTTCCTGAGCTTGCAGGGCTGCAGGCCTGATGCAGGAGGTGGCTGGTGCATCCCAGATACAATGTCACCTTCTGGGGTTCCTGGTGGGTGGGCAGTAAGCTCCTCCCGAGGATGCCCTGTTAGAGCTGAGGGCATCTCTTTTTATAAATATCCATAGGTCTAATATCTGGGAGTGCTTGTGGGCTGCGTGTGCTCCATCCTATGATGGGAGATGCAGAACCACGTGCCACTCAAGAATGGGGTTGACAAGAACAGGGAACAAAGAGCAGCCATGGGGATGGCATTTGCATCATTTAACATTTGATATGAAAAGAATCATTTCGGTGGCATTAAATGTTCTCTCTGGCATTATTCTCTGTTAGAAAACAGTCTCCATGGTGGTGCTGATGCCATCTTGACACTTCACTTCCTTGTCATCAAAACGGTTTTCTGCACCAACTCAAGCATGGCAGAAAATTTCAAAGGCCTTAATAGAAGTTTTCCAACCACATCTCCATGGAGCAGTTGGAAAATGTCTCCAATTATGCAAGCTTTTTGTAAAATGTCTCAAAAACACAGAAGGGCCTATTGTACTTTTCACAAGTAAATGTGAACACATTTAATGCTCAAAAATGAAAAGAAGAGTGTTGGGATTTTTTTTTTAAATGAATGCTTGCTACTGGATCAGGCCACCCCCTTCTCCCTATCCCCTAACAAATAAATGAATATATTTAAATTTTAGAAGAGTGTGATGAAGTACACTCTGGAAAGATCTGGAGGGAGGCATTAGGACCAAAAAAAGAGACACAACAGTTGTCAAAATTGGAATCCTGTCAAGGCACTGGTAACTCAGGGAATTGGCTGAGAACATACCGTTTTTTCAAGAAAGGAATACTGCAGGTGCTACCAGGAGGAGAAACGAGGTGTGTGGTAGCCTAGGGGCTGTTTTAATGACTTACAGGTGTCGTCTCATTTAATCCTCACAACCATCCTATACAAGAGCTACTTCAGCTAATCCTTCTCTACAGATGAGGAAACTGAGGCTTGGAAGGGCTAGGCAGCTTGGCCAAGGCCACACAGCCAGTGAGTGGCAGAGCTGGGATCAGAACCCAGGCTGTCCAAAGCCCCATTGTCTCTCCCCTTTGCCAGGCTGAAAAGGGGCAGAAGGATCTAGAAACCTCCTCTCCAGACCACCCTTCCACCCAGACACCCGGGGTCACGGGCCACTACCTGCTTTGGAGAGCTTGTCTACCATCTCCTTCCGAACAGGCTTGCTGAGGTTGAAGTAGTCGTCATCCTCATCGATGCTTTCAAGGAACAGTGGGATGTGCTGGAAGACGATGGCGTGCTGGCACTTCCGCTGCCCTGCGATGCTCAGCTGCTGGTCCAGCCACTGGTCCTGGGCCTGCTTCAAGGCAGGGCACCTGGAGGCATCGTACAAGAACTGGGAGTTGAGGACAAGGAACAGGACGCCCCCGACCCAGAAGCTGAAATAGTCATCTCCCCAAGTCTGCTGGAACTCCTCGATGGTCTCTGGGGTGGGCACGTTGCCCACATCGTGGTTGCCACTGACGAAGACCAGTGGGATCTCACTGTCCACATCCCTGAGCACCCGCTGCAGGTCCTCCGTCTGCTCCTTCCGCCAGGGCATCCCTGGAAAAGCAAGGGTCATGTCCTCAAATGGCCAAGACTGTTTATGCATTTACCAACACACAATAAGAAAGAATAATCTAGAAATCCACTCACCCAGGCCAATGGAAACTGCAAAAAGTAGTCATATGTTAAAAGCAAATCAACAAGTGAGGTGGGAACCTCTGAGTTGAACTGTCTTTCCCTCAGGATGCCTTGGAAATTAATGTCTAAGTGGACATGTGACCCAACACTGCTGACTGAGTAATGGTGTAGAGTCATTCTAATACTAAATATTAGTGAAGCTTAATTCTATCTTTTATTTAGATGAAAAATAAATATAAACAGTTGTAACTTTTCTGCCCTATCTCAGTGGGTCATCATGAGCATCCCTGTGGTGTGTGGACCTAGCTTTGTACACTAGCCCCAAACTGATGGCTACTGAAGGTTTTCTTACCATACACATGGCCATGCAGACTGCGCGAATACCCTTACAGGAAAAATTTTTAGAACCCACATGGCCAAATCAATTGGCACGTGCATCTTGCCAAATCCCCACCATATGGGGGAAGAGGCATTTTATATTCCACTAGTGTGTAAGAGAACCAGGCACCAATGTCTTAACATTAAGTGCGTTCCCCCTGGCACAAGGGATTTACTAGGAAGATGATTATTTGGACAAAGAGCTGTAAAGTATGTGGGGACTCTCTTCCTTCAGATTCCTGGCTTCCATACTCTCTGTAATAATGTACTAAAACATAAATTGGGGGCTGGCCCCATGGCCCAGTGGTTGGGTTCACGCGCTCTGCTCTGGCCCAGGGTTTTGCCGGTTTGGATCCTGGCCGCGGACATGGCACCGCTCATCAGGCCATGCTGAGGCGGCGTCCCACATAGCACAACCAGAGACACTCACAACTAGAATATACAACCATGTACTGGGGGACTTTGGGGAGAAGAGGAAGGGGGAAAAAAAGATTGGCAACAGATGTTAGCTCAGGTGCCAATCTTTAACAACAGTAATTAATAATAGATTTTGAAATGACCAATTCAATTCCAGATCTGTTTTTTTGAGCCCCTCTATGCTAATTTATTCATCAAATGTTTACTGAAGCAGTAACTATGTGTAAGGCACTGATTTAGTTACTGGAGCGAACTATGAGCCAGAGACACGGATCCTTCCCTCCAAACTTGGGAGTCAGATAATTTGCCAAGGAAATTATAGATGCACACCCATCTGTATCAGATGTTCTTAAGCGTTACTGAGAAAAGCAAAGCAGGGAAGGGACATAATTCCTGCACCATGTCCGTCCTGAGGAATATGCTCAGCTTCATGCAAAGACAGCCTAAGAAAAAGAGCAGCCAACTTCCCCCGGGAAAAGGAAAACTCACCTGAAAAAGCTTTCCATAAGCAGATGACAATTCTACCCGACATTCCATTTCCATCATGAATTAAAAAGAAAGCAAAGAAGTCTTTACAAGGCAATTACGGCTAAGAAAGAAGACCACGAAGCAGAAATAAAGGAATTCAGTCTAGATGGTCATTAAAAATAGGCAGATGTGAAATAGGAACTGTTAGAACTAAGGAAAGAAATAGAAGGAAAAGACAAAACCATTTCAGAAATTGCGACTACAAATTAGCAGGAGCGAGATTTCCTTTATAACCAAGTATACGCCAGTTTTTCTAAATATCCCATGTGAGCTTGTAAAGAATGCGTGTTCTCTGATTGTTGAATATGGAGTTCCTCATATTTCCACTCAATCAAGCCTGTTAACGGTATGATTCAATCTCCTACGTCATTATTCTTTGCTTTTGGCCTACTGATCTCTATCAGTTTCTGAAAGACTTGGTTAAGTTGCCATTGTAACTGTGGATCAATCCATTTCTCCTTGTAATTCTGCCAAGTTTCATGTTCACTTCAACTACATTGTCAGATGCATAAGAGTTCAGAATTTCCATATCTCACTGAAATATTTTATATTTAATCCTAGTAAAATAAAAATAGAAAGAGAGAACTCTATAATGATGCTATGGAAAGATCTTTAATATATATTAAGAAGGTAAGAGGTGGAGGAGTAAAAAAATCACATATGAATTAAAAAAGGGCTTATACAGATTCATATAGTTATGGATAAACTTCTCTAAAGATATAAAGAAAACATTAACTCTGGTTAAATCTGGGAAGCAGGAGTAGGAAGTGAAGGAAACTTCCATATTTGGTTCAAAACCCTTTAAAACTACTTTTTAAAAGTTCCTTCCTTCCTTTCTTCCTCCCTTTTCCCAAGCTTATCTGTTACCTTCATTTCAAAAAAAAAAAAGTTTTAAAAAAAGTGCCTTTAGCCCCAGCATCCTACAGTTTAAAGAAGAGTCAGGGGAAGGCAGTCAGGCAGCTGCATTTCCAGCTGATCCCAATCTCTGGGATGCAAGGAATTTGCTTGGGAAAGGCTGGCACCCCAACAGGAGCTCAGGTGGGGAGAGAAGCAGGGCCCGCCTGGCACTAGGGACAGGAGCCTCTGCCTTGCGGTGCGAGGAGTGTGCCGACAGGCAGCATCTGCCCCTCGCTGGGCTGGGCTGGCTCTGGGGCTCTTGTTTCTTTAGCTGATCCCGGACTGTGGGCATCTGTGTTGACTTACATAATCCCCTCCAAGACCCCGCTGGCCGATTCTTTTCCCTGTAAATAGACTGCGCGTTTAGGACGAATCCTTTATGGCCCTGAACACAATAAACCTTCTCAAAGGCACTCTGTGAACCAGGCTAATTCATCACTACTTCCCTTATCCAGTTTTCTAAAAGACCCCAAAGCCACCCCCAGGATTCCCTTCTTCCCATTCATGCTGACTTAGGGATTTTCTGATACTCAGTAACGGCCAGTTTCACCCAGCACTTACTAGGGGCCAGGCAGCGTTCTGAGCGCTGCCATGTCTTAACTCAGTTTGACAACCAGTCGGGGATTTGAACTTGGTGTTCCAACCAGAGTGCTGCCTCTCCTTACAATGTCGTGGTCAAAAACTAGGGTCCTAGCTTCTGGGGTGACTCCTCTCAACCACGCTGATCCACAGGACGAGGACTTTATAACACACTGGGGTGCAGTGTATTTTCAAAGGGCATTTCATCACGAGCCTCACATACTGAGGCAGACCTAGGGGATGTTCGAGCAGCTGATGACCACACACAGACAAGTTAAAAATGAGCCCCTCCAAAAAAGGTTCAGTCAAAACTTGCAAAGGAGACTTTGTCTACAAAGCGATCTACAGTGAAGAGCTGTGAACTACACAGAGCAATGACATGTTTGTTTCCAAGCTTCAGAGGGATGCTACTTGTGGGGAAATCACCAATATCTTCTAATAACCTGTTAAAAAACACGAAGCCCATCTTCCCTGGATCCCCTCAATCAAAGATGAGCCTTTCTCATGCAGCTTTTCCAGAACTTTCTTTTCTCCTCATGTGGAGGCATGGTGTGGATGTGGGGTCCATGACACCCGGGGCTTGGTCCTTGGCTCTTGTCCCTTATAAGCCGTGTGGCCTGGGGCGAGTCATTTGGTTCCTCTGAGCCTTGCTCTCATCATGTGTGAAATGTGGATGATAATCCCCAGACCTCAGAGGGCGGCTGTGAGTACTTATACCAAGATAATGATTCCCAGAGTTTGGTACAAGTAAGTCTGCAAAAAGGTTAGCTGTCTTCCCTCTACCCCTATGCTCGAATGTAACCAATTCTTCCTTTTCTATCAGTGACCCACAGTATGCATATTGCAATCAATAAATCATTTCCCAAGGAATGAGAACATTCCCCAGGGATATAAATAATTTTTAGGTGAGAATTTAGAAGAGAAGGAGTAAATTCTGCAAAAAGCCAAGTTTAATAAAAACATGCGCATTATGTTCAACAAGCTCTCATTTGTGTATATCAAAATTTCTTTAGGGTCAGAATGTCAATAACACCTTAGCGTTAACATAGCTCATAGCACATCTTAGCACAGCTTCCTAAAAGTCATAATACTGAAGCAAATACTTTGTCAAATACTCAAAGCCCAAAGCCAAACCTCACTAGCATCAGGAATAGAAACAATGGAAACCTAGCCAAGGGTGGAGCTTCCAAGAGCTTCTTATGTATCAAGCCGGGCTTTGTGCTTCACAGGAAGGGAGGCAGGAAGGGAGGGAACAGACCTTGGCTAAGGAAGAAAAATTACAAGACAAGACTCAAAGGAGGGAAAGAGAAGGATTGATCTGGGTGGGTCTTCAAGGCAGATGAGGGGCATCTGCTGAGGATGGGTACCAAGAGAACAGGGACCCCGATGTCAGCACACGCAGGCCGCCTACTGAGGAGAGCTCTGGACGGGACGCACAGGAGTATAGGAAGCTGTGATGTGTTTAAAGAATTTTTAAAAAAAATTTTTAATTGCAATAAGTTAAAATAAAACCAGGAAGTAAAACACTTTATAAGGATAATTACAAAGTACTTACTTCTATCATTCATGGACTTTGAATTTTTAACATGATGTGATACCATGAAATGTGTAACTTATTACTGTCAATATTCATTAAGGCAGAGATTATTATCTTGTTGTTTTCAGAATAGCCTTAAAATACATTAATAAAATCTCCTAGCAAACTTGGAAGAGAAATAAACATCTTTGACCTGACAAAGGCCATCTACAAAAGGCCTACAGCTAACATCATACTTAATGGTGAAAGACTGCATGCTTTCCCTCTAGGACTGGGAACAGGCAAGGATGTTTTCTCTACTACTTCTCTTCAACGTCACACTGGAAGTCCTGGCCAGTGCAATAAAGCAAGAAAAAAGAAATAAAAAGCATATAGATTGGAAAAGAAGAAATAAAACTGCCTATTCTCAGAAGACATGACTTTGTCCACAGAAAGCCCTAAAGAATCTATAAAGGAAAAAGGCTTCTAGATCTAATGAGGGGACTGGTTTAATTGCTGGATGCAAGGTCAATATATAAAAATCAATTGTATTTCTATATACTACCAGTGAAGAACTGGAGATGCAAATAGAAGGACTTGAGAGATATTTAGGAGGCAGAACAATAGGAATCCTTGTTGTATTGGTTACAAGAAGGAAAAGCACTCAAATATAATTCCCAGACATCTGAGCAAATGGGAGGTTAGTAATGTCATTCATTGACATGGAAAAGAATGGGGAAGAAATAGATTAGAGGTAAAAATCAAAAGCTCTTTTTCAATATAAAATTTGATGTATTGGTACAGTCAACAAAAGAAAAAATAGACAAATTAAAAACTTTTGTCCATCAAAAGACATTACGAACAGAGTAAAAAGGCAATCCACAGGACAGAAGAAAATATTTGCAGGTCATCTATCAGATATGGCATTAATACCTAGAATATGGAGAGAGCTCCTAAGATTCAACACCAACAAACAGCCCGATACAAAAGTGGTCAGAGGACTTGAAATGACGTTTCTCCAAAGAGGATATACAAATGGCCAAAAAACCCATGAAGAGACTCTCAACATCACTAGTCAGCAGGGAAATGCAAATTAAAACCACAATGAGATACCACCTCATACTCATTAGAATGGCTACAATTTAAAAAAAAAGAAGCAGAAACTAATAGGTGTTGAGAAGGCTGTGGAGTAACTGGAAAACTCGTGCACTGTTTGTGGACATATAAAATGGTACACCTACTGCGGAAAACAGTATAATGGTTTCTCAAAAAATTAAAAATAGAATCACCATATGATCCAGCAATTTCACTTTGGGTATATACTCAAAAGAACTGAAAGTGGGGTCTTGAAGACATATCTGTATACCCATGTTCACAGCAGCATTATTCACAATAGCTAAAATGTGGAGGCAACCGAAGTGTCCATCAATGGATGAATGGATAAGCAAAATGTGGTATATACACACAATGGGATATTACTCCACTTTAAAAAGGAAGGAAATTCTAACATATGCTACAACATGTGGAATCTTGAGGACACTATGCTAAGGACAATTTGCCAGTCACAAAAAGACAAATACTATATGATTCTACTTATGTGTTGGGGTTGGCACTTCAAGTGGAAGCACAGGTGGGCTCTGATTCAGAGGACGTGAGATTGCCCTTTTGAGGGGTGTCCTTTGGGCACACTACCCTCTGAGGCTCAGTTCTCTAGCCCTTAAAATGGAAACTGTCTCACCTCCTTGATGGAGATGCTGTAAGATCAATGAGATCATGCATTTAGGTGCCCAGTGGGCAACATGTGCTCAGCTTCTTTTCCCTTCACCCTAACCCTCTCCCACCCCACTCCGCCCAGGGAAAAGGCAGAGGAAGGGAGCAGCTAGACCGTAGGCCATCTCAGATCTCCCTGTATTCTCCTCATTCTCAGGGAGCTCGGCTCTCAGTGCTGCTGCTGCCCTGGGCTGTACTGGAAAAACAGCACAGACGTGCGTGCTGACACCCCAGCACATGGGTAGGGAGAATATCCAGCTCACCTCTACCTGGCAATTTGCTTGTGATATTTGGAGGCCACAATCCACTGCAGAAAGATGGACAAACTGATGAAACGTCACTAAGCCACCAGTACTAAGGGTAAAACACACCAAAGACAAGAATTTCCGATGCCAGCCCTAAGAGGTCTCTGGAAACACAGTCAGTGGTGTGTGTTTTCACTGGAAGGTTGGAAACAGAACAGTCAAGTCAGGGCATCTCCTAAACAGTTAAGATCATAAATTACAACTCCTTTCAGGGGGCAATTAGGAAAGGTCAATTTAAAATTTAATAAACTCATTATATCGAGTGGCCTGGCAATTCTATTTATAGGAATTTATCCTAAAGAAATACACACAAATGTGTAAAACATAGCTGTTCACTGTAGCATTAATTGAGAAGATATGACCATCTGAAATGGCTTAAAAGTTCATCATTAGAGAAATGATGGTGTGTCTTTACTATGGAATAAAAAACAGGTAAGAATGTATAATATAAATATACATTTATGTATAAATATGTATTATAAATATACAATAAACAGGCAAGTAAATATTTACTGCTAAGGCTTGGGGAGCTGGGTTTTCTGGGGCAAGCTAAGTGAAAACAAGAAGTTATAAGAGCTAGTATGTATAGTTCTGTTGAAAACAGACCAGCAAGTTAGTATATTCAGAGATAAAATTTCCAGAAAACTATGGACAAACTAGTAATAGTAATTATCTGTGGAGGAATGGAATGACAGAAAACATTTCAATTTCCTGCCAAGTTTGAATTTTTATAATGAGTATGAATTACTTTTATAATCAGGAAAACAAGACATTTAAGAAATCAAAAATGCACTAAAATTAGATCTTGTTAGGTAAATAAGGATACATATAATTTTAATAGGAACAGATATAAAACAAATGACAAGGCCAATGCATAAGTTAAGTTCTCCACTCTCAGAAAGAAAGAAAATGGAGAAAAGAAAAGATAGAACCAGAAAGGCGTTTTTAAAAAATTCTTTTATCATTTCCTATAACTAGAATCATAAATATGTGGTCTTTTGTGAGTAACTTCAAGGTTCATCCATATGGCAGCCTCTATCAGTACTCCACTCCTTTGTTCCTGAATGGTATTCTATTGTACAGATATAGCACATTTTCTTTATCCATTCATTGGGTGATGGGCATTCGGGTCGTGTCTACTTTTTGGCTATTATGAATAACGCTGCTATAAACAGCCACATACAAGGTTTTGTACGGACGCATGTTTTCATTTCTCCTGGGTATGTACCTAGCAGTGAAATTGCTGGGTCACATGGTAACTGTATGTTTAATTGTTTAAGGAACTGCCAGACTGTCTCCCAAGGCACCATGTTACATTCCTACCAGCAACATATGAGGGTCCCAACGTTTCCACATCCTTGACAATACCTGTCATTTTCCATCTTTTTGATTATAGCCATCCTAGTGGACACACAGTGGTATCTCGCTGTGGTTTTCATTTGCATGTATGTAATGACTAAGGATGTTAAGCATCTCTTTAAGAGCTTATTGGCCATTTGCCTACTTTAGAGAAATGTTTTGCCCACTTTCAAATTAGGTTATTTGCTTTTCATTCCTGAGTTGTAAGAGCTCTTTATATATTATGGATACTAGTCCTTTATCAGACATATGATTTGCAAATATTCTCTCCCGTTCCCTGAGTGGTCTTCTCACTTTCTTTGTAACGTCCTTTGAAGCACAGAAGTTTTCAAGTTTGATAAAGTCTAACTCATCTACTTTCTCTTTTGTCACTTGTGCTTTCAGTATTAGATCTAAGAAACCAGTGTCTAATCCAAGGTCATCAAGATGTGTGCCTATGCTTTCTTCTAAGAGTTTTATACTTTTAGCTTTTATTTGGTCTTTGATACATTTTGAGATAAGTTTTGTATATGGTGTGAGGTAGGGGGCCAAATCCAGTCTTTTGCAAGTGGATATCCAGTGGTTCCTGCACCATTTGTTGTAAAGACTATCCTTTCCCCATTGAATTGTCTTGGCAACCTTGTTAGAAATCAACTGACCATAAATGTGAGGGTTTATTCTGGACTCTCAATTCTATTCCATTGATCTATATGTCTATCCTTATGCCAGTACCATACCGTTTTGATTACTGTGGCTTTCTAGTAAGTTTAAAATCAGGAAGTGTGAGTCCTCCAATTTTGTTCTTCTTTTTCAAGGTTGTTCTGGCTGTTCTGGGTCCTCTGAACTTCCCTACAAATTTTAGGAACAGCTTGTGGTAAGTGGGAGTCAAGGAGAACTAAGACCACAGTTTACCACTCAAGAAGTTAATAGCTTTTTAGGAAAGCTTATTTGGGATTCTGTCACTGCAGACACACTCACAATCATGCTGGCTGTTCTGCGACTGGACTGTAACCCAGCAGGGGTGGCCCATGTCCCGAGACTGAAGGTGACGTGTACTTCTGAAAATAATGTCCTGACCACCTGTGTGCCAGCACTGCACAGGCAAGGGAGGCAGTGAGGATGTGGGAGCCCGCACGTGTTCCGAGAAGTATGTCATGTTAGGAGGACTGCGTCCTCAGGAGGATTCATCTGCCGAAGGAAGATGAGATGGCTTAGAGGGAGGTGAATGAGGGGACAGGCGCTGGCAGAGAGGCGATTTTACAGTTTTTAGCCAAGAGGTAATAAGGACTGGAACAGGGCTGTGATAATAGGAATGGAAAGGAAGGAGACCATCTAAATACTTGCAAACTTTATCCTGTTTGAATAAGAAAACAGAGAAGAGAAAAATATGCACATGCTTTGTCATTGTCTGAATTGTTACTGTTGGCCAAAGTCCTCCATAAATTATTTTCCCCCCAAAGTGATCATCTCTCTGATATTTATCTTCTTTAGAGCCATCTTTGGTACTACTATAAGGCGTGCACATACATAATGATAGAATATTCAATAACAAAATGCTACTGGGCACTGGGTACATGCAAGACATTGCCCAAGGCTAATGCTGACAAGAGACAATGCAATGTTCATGGACAAAGAAGTTCCGGGAAATTATAAGCAGATTCACCTCTGATACTGGCAAGTCCCCTAAGAGGAACGAATGAGCACGATGCATTTCTGTCTAGAGCTTCTAGGGTGTCAGATGCATGAAAAGGTCTTATTTAGAATGATTGCCTCTTTTTACTTTAAGATTCCATTTTAAATCTGAACTTGGGCACCAGCGGCTATGCCCCTAAATCTCTGGTTCCATTTGAGATTTTAAATATACAACCTAATAAAAAGTTAATGGGAGTTTCACAGTTAAACTCTAAATACAGTCACTGCTCTTTCAAAGCCAGAGGCGAAATCTAAAAAGCCCCAGTCACCACAGGGTTAAAAGAACAGAAATTATTTGTCTTCAGCTAGGCATTTAATCAACACATACCTGCTGTCCTACTGTGTGCCAGATCATGGCCACACCAGCATAAGTAAGATGTTATCTTTGTTCTCATGGAGCTCAAAGTCCAGAGGGGGCCCAGACATGGAAACAGGCGATGACCACATGGCATTGCACGAGTTATGAAGTTATGTGATGGCAGCACTAGCCCTGCGGAAGCACAAGGTGGGAATAACCAACCCACTATTACTAGGAGGTGAGAGAGCTTTCCCAGAAGAAGCAACCCTCCAACTGAGCATCAAAAGGCTTAGGAAGAACTAGGGCCTGCTGAAGACAGAAAGGAGCTTTCCTAGGCAAAGGGAATGGCAGGGGAAGGCAGAGAGGTCAGAAAGAGAACCCGGCACCTTTTGGGAAGTGGGGCCGGAAGAGAGTATGTACCAGAGTAATGAAAAGAGCTTAGATTTGGGGAGTGTCTATTATGTACTATTACGAGTTTCTACGTTGAGATGCAAGACTATGATTTCAGGTTCAATCTCTTTTAAACAATTAGTCAGCTTGACCATGTTTTTCTTGATGTGTTTCCCATCCAACTGGCAACAATCAAGAAGTGTTGATAATACAGTTTGTTGGTGACAGCATGGGGAAATGGGTCCCCTCTTGTAGTGTTGGCTGGAGTGTAAATGATTTCCTTTATTCACATTTGAAAACCCACATACACTTTGACCCCAATTGTTGGAATTTTTCCAACAATACGTGCAAAAGCCTAATGTAGAAACAAGAATTTTTTGTTGCTGTCTGTTTGTAAGAGCATAGTAGGGCAGGGTTGGGAGTAGGATGAGTGCAAAATTTAAGATGGCACTCACTCTCAGGTTTGTGCAAGTGCTGGCTCTGCATTTGTACAACCCTGAGAGCAAGTGCCTCCTTAAATTCTGCCCCCTAGATGCCTCCCTCACTTCACCCTACCCCTGGTCCTGTAGCATATCATCACAGACAACCTAATGAACACACAGAGGAGACTGGGTAAATAAATGATCATCTATCCATACACTGAAACACTATGCAGCCACAAAAAGTGAGGTGGACTGTCTCTACGAAGGGAAAAAGCAAGATCAATATATTGTGCATCATTTGTTACCTTTTATGTAGAAAAGAGAAGAAATATACATGCACATGTGCATACACTATCTCTGGAAGGATGTCTTAAAAACTGGTATTATGTGCTGCCTCTAGGGAGAGAAACTGGGCTAAGAGGGAACATTTTATACATTCTTTTGTAACTTTTGAACGTTGGTCCATATAAATAGATTCTCCATTAAAAACATAAACAAAATTATGAAAATAAAATCTAAGGAAAAAATATGCAAATATGCTTAGAAATGTATCTGGGAAAGATACACAAGAAACTGATGGTTGTCCCTGGGAGGAAAACTGGCATGTGGGGTGGGGAGACGACTGACTTACCACCACCTGCCCATATACAGGATTTGACCTTTCCCCATGTGCACATATTACCTGAAAAATTAAACACATGTAACTAACCACACGTGTGTTCATTACACATACATTACACTGTGTGCACACGCACGCACGTATGTTTTTATCAGACCACCACTAGACGTGGACAAAAGAGGATCCCAGTCAAGCCCAGACGAGAGCCCAGATGCCTTCACACAGCTCATTGTCTTCAGGGGATGAAGGTTTGCTGAGCACCTGGCATCATTTTTCTCCCCAGAGGATGGCACCCAAGAGAGACTGATCAGAGCAGTGCAGGACCGGGCCTTTCTCATTGTGGCTTTGCCCGCTGTGGAGAAGGGAGCCTCTGCCCTAAAAAACAAGAGTGTCAGATTCTCTTCCGTATTCTTCTCAGCAATACCTGAAATCAGACACCCACTGTGGCTCGGCTTCAATGCCGTAAGCCTTCCTCAAAGCGGTGTTCCGCTTCTGTGTGCTCAGCACTCTCTCCCAGGGATCTCTGTTTCGCCTAAGGAAACTTCTTTTCTGTACCTTTGCTACTAACTTGCGTTTTCGATTTTATACACGTTCTGTGCAAAGCTTCGTTCACAGCTCAACACGATTAAACAAAATGACATGTTGTTATTAGGATAAAAACGTCACGCCCAGTTTGTTCATTCTGCAGTGCAACTCTTTTGGGCGTGCTGGCTTAAAAGTAAACATCAGAATGTGTCTGGGTGGCTCTCCACGGAATATTCCGTAATCTTTCAGCAGCAATGGCAAAACCCTCGGAAGGATGAGATGAGCTCTTGGCCATGTAGCTTTTCTTAGGCTTTTAATGCACTACAATTTATTGTTTATTGAGAACCCAGGTGGGTTACTTCATTTCCAAGAACACAGGTGTCTGCGTTACTGTCGGTTTTTTTTCCAGATTAGAGATCCATCTTCTGAAGTGAAAATAACCACTGTCTTCACTTCAAGGATACCTCAACCAGAAGCGCAGGCTGAGACCGCAGAAAATTAGTGCTTACCTGCCAAGCACAAAATATCACGATAATACACATTTCTTCTTCCCCTTTGGGGGTAAAGGAGAACGGAAGCTACCATAAAGTACTGGACAAGATAACCTGGTTACAGAAAAGACAGAACAAGAAACCAACAGTGGACCCGTGTGTCTCCTCTCCCCTGTGACCACCATCCCAGCCAGCAACACACAGTGACAGCAAAATCCCACCAGCAAACTACATCAACACCACCCACCTGAGACCTTCAGAACATGTTCTCTCCTCTGCGGAGGCTGTCTAAACAACAGACACCTCGAACGGATTTCAACACTGCTATGCACCTATTTACTATTTTATAGTAAGAAGTTTTTCGTCTTGTTTTTTTCCTCAATAAAAACAAGCAAACTCTTGTCTCTGTAGCAAACAGACAAGAAAGGATGTTGCTGAGTTAAAGACAGTAAGACCTCTCTATTCCCTGGTTCCTAGAGGAACAAGGACTCAGTTAAGAAGTGATGATGACACACTCACCCACTGTCAGGCAAATGTAAATTAAATAGCGGGACGACCTTAGTAAGCAGAGAAACAGTCAGGTGATGCAACGGGCTGTTAACGGAGCTTCTACTCATGCAGGGGATCCAGAGTGGACTTCCCACTCAATACAGGCGGCAGTGACAAGAACAACAAAATCAATACGGCCTTCGAGGAGCAGTTACTTACAAACCAAATGATGTCTCCAGTGGAGGCCGGTGCTGGGAGGCAGGGGGATCAATCTGCGACGGGGAAGAACTTCCTGCCAGCAAGACTCCTGCCGGACTTTTCCAGATCCTTTCAGAGCTGCACAGTCCTCACGGCCTGCCCAGCTCTCAGGGGCTTCCTTGTTCCTGGAATTTCACACCGACGCTGCCTTCACCACGGCCCCCTGAGGCAGGGCTGTGCACTGAGGAGCAGTTTCCAGCAGCATTTTCCTTGCACAGTGAGGATGCTTGATACGTGCGGCTTTGGTCTAATGTGGGATCAGCTGAGTGCAGAAACTAACAAGAAGACATTGGGATATGCGCCAAGCACCCGTCTCTCGTCCCTCTTTCCCTGATCTCAGTAGTGGGTTCTCAGCCGGGCAGCCTCAGAATCTTTCCTTGTCAGTCCAGGCTCTCCGACAAGAAGAGAAGGTGCAGCAGCTTATCCACTCAGCCACAATCCAGCTACACACACACACACTCCCCCCACATCTTTCCTCTGTCTTCTAAAGTCTCCTTCCCTAACAGAGCTGTGGCCAGTCTGTAGGCCATTGAAGGTGTGCCTTACGGTCTGCTGCAATCTGGGAAGCTGCCATGAGCAGCAGCATCCACCTGCTATGGGCTGAATTGTTTTCCCCAAATTCATATTGAAACCTTAACTCCCAGCACCTCAGAATGTAACTGTATTTGAAGAGAGGTCTCTAATGAGGCAATTAGGTTAAAATGAGGTCTGAATTTTAGCTTAAAGTGGGCCCTAATCCACTATGACTGGTGTCCTTATGGGAAGAGGAGATCAGGACACAGACATGCACAGGGTGAGGACCACGTGAGGACACAGGGAGAAGACGAGCCAAGGAGAGAGGCCTCAGAAGAAACCAACCCTGCCGGCAACTTGATCTCAGATTTCTAGCCTCCAAAATTGTGAGACAACACACTTGTGCTGTTTAAGTCACCCAGTGCATGGCATCCTGTTACTGCAGCCCGACGGGAAAGGAACGCACTCCCCATGAGCCAGGACAGGGGGACGCGGCCTGAGCAGCTGCGCTTTCCTCACCTACAGCCTCTGCTGCTCTGGGAGAAGGAATGTTTTCTGGAAAACTCTGCCTGCTACGGCGGGAATAGGAGATGGGCTGGCAGCATGCTTCGCTCCTCCTCAGTGCTTTTCCGCCCAGGCCCCCTCCTCTGCAAAGCACCCAGCCCCTGAGGAAAAGGCACCCCCATCCACGCAGCTGCCCGACTCAGAAATCCAGGCGTGCTGCCTGATCACTCCCTCCCCCTCAGTGCCCACGTCCAGCCCAAGACCACGTCTGGCAGGTTCCACCTCCCAAGCATTCCTCAAACCCGTCCAAGTGCGTGTCGCCTCCCCTGCTGCCACTGCAGCCCAAGTCAAATGACACTTGCCAAAGATGGGATGGTATATGTTGACCCTCCCCCACTGACACCCCGGGCTCCCGCTGGGGCCTTCTTCCTGCCCAGAGATGGCTACAGGTGGGACAAGGATGGCAGTGAGGAGTCAAAGACACCTTTTTGACTCACCAAGTGGTGGCAACTGCACTGACGGACAAGATGGCAGGCACACTCAGTGCCTGAGACGCTGCCGAGCCCCCAGGCTCTGTACGTCCCGTCCATTTACCACCCAGGCCTTTCCCCAGGAGAGCCAACCATTTGTCCTCTACTTAAATTCCTCTTTACCCATCCCTCCTGCATCACTGACCCGGCAAGACCAAGTCTCACCCTCCTTGGTTACAGCTTATGCCCAGAGGATGGTGATAACCTCCCGATGGCTTCTGGCTTCCAGAGTGCCCCTGTACAGTCAGTTCACACAGCACCGCCATGAGCTTTTGCAGCATGTCACCAGCCTGTCACACTGCTCACCTCTCCCAATCACAAACAGTTCAAAGACTAATCTTCATAGACTTCATAAACTTCAGAAACTTAATCTCATCTTCTTATACTTTATCCCATCTGACCCTCACATCACCCCTTGGATGGTGCGATGGATGGCCTTGCGGCATCTTAG